AACATATAAGGCAAAAGCCAAAACCACGAAGAGTGGTTGGGATCTGAACACATACCCTAAGTCAAAATCTAGATTATTCTTTCACTTTGTTTTCTAAAAATTTGTTCCTTGTGTATTTACGGATTCACTTAATTCAATACATTTCAATCATGTTCGTGCAAACTATCTTTAAGATCTACTCACAGAGACTTTTTCCTAGCTTTTTTCTAAACCTTACTCAACATTAATAAAATTTCTGATTGTGGATTTTAGTTCCCACATCAATAAATAAAATCCCCCAAGCCATCAAGATAAAGTATTTTAGCAAAATGTTTTAGGTACAGATAGACATGGCGTTGGGTACTCTTTCAGGGTTTGGATAAGGTATTTTGGGTTTTCAAATTTTCAGATTCATCTTCTTAGGTCTCATTCTAATATTTTATAAGTACGAGATCGGGTTCAGTTAATAATATTTGGGGGAGGGGGGGGGAGGGGTTGTATTCAATTTAAAATTTGAGGTGATTTTATTTTTAATGATGATTTAGATGATTTTAAAGAATTGGAGAGTTCAGACTGATTTTTGTTAAACCACTCTAGAATATCACCTAAAACCATGAGATTTGAGTTTTATTGTCTTTTGACTAAGAAACTCCATGTTAACACTCTAAAATCACTTGAAAACTTTAAAACTCCAGAACTTAAAATATTTTCAATAAAAATGGAATTGCAAGTACTTTATGAAATATTAAGTTCAGTAACAGTGGATTTTAAATTACTTTTAAAACCCATGTTTAATTAACAGTGAATTGTTCATTTTAATACAAATTACTTAAAACTCTCAGTTGAATACCTCCTCCCCCTTTTCAATTCGGTTCTAATTTGTAATACATCCTAAAACTCATAAAGTAACCATATATCATTCACATTTGGGTTATAGAGGTTCGGATATACCCGATGTAACAAAAAATTTTTTTTAAAAAGTATTAAGAAATAATTAATTGTTTATATAAAGTCGGATATTTAAAAAAATTATTTAAGTTTTAAATAATTATTTTTACATAGTATAAAAAAATCATGGAACTGAGTATTTTTAATCATTTTTTTTCCATAAATCTGAAGCGAGAAGTATACCAACAAGAATAATCCAACATCAAATATCTTATTCATTTGGTTTTTATTCTGATTCATTAATTTATATGTTTTGTTTCTTTTTTCTAATTCATTTATTTATATGTTTAGAAATTCTTATGATGTAAACGAATAAAAGGAATGTCAGAGGAAAATTATATTTATATCCAAACGCCTAAAATATACTAGAGTAGTGTTACAGTTGTGGTTTCTTTCTTTCTAAATGGAAAATATCACCGCTTGAATTGTGTCTTCTGAACTCACTTGAAATTGTTACAATCGTTCAATGATTTATCAAAATTATGGGAATACATATTTATGCTGCATACAGTTAAAAGTCAATGAACATTTTAGGTTTGATAAAATTAATTTTTATAGCAAAGTTCTTAATTTGGTAGTGTCTACAACGATTCTGTTACAGCTTCGAAGAGTCTCCCGTATCTAACTCATCTCTTTTTTCTTGTTCCAAGACCAGATTGTCTTCGCGGATGTTCGTCATCTCTCTTTTTCTCTCGATTTTTTTTTTTTTGCAAACAAGAAGAAACAGTATCTGCCATTTGTTTTCTAGGTTATTTAGAAAACGATTAGTGTAGTACACTAGTATATGTATTTGTTTCTGATTTCCATTTTCCATCACACCAACAATTTTTTTTTTCTTTTAACAAGTCAAATTTTTACATTGACGGTGTGACCTCAGTTTTCCTTTTATGAGCATAAATTTCCTTTCCTAAAATTAAACACTAAAATCTGAAGCGAGAAGTATGCCAACAAGCTTAAGCCAACATCAAATATCTAATTCAAATTTTCATGATTCGTTTTTTTAATGTTGATAAAATATGAATATTATATCAAAATATGTTTAGTTATATGCATTAATTAAGCTGGAAATTTCAAATGGAAAAAGAAAAAAAATTATTGATGAAAAGCAATAAGAAGAGCTTTAAAATAAATCATTTTGTTAGATTGTAAATGAATCAAAACTTATAAAATTATGACATATTTTAAATTTAATAGAGTTGACTTAAACATATGCAACTACTGGAACATGATTTATCACATAAATCCAGTCCAAAAAACCCCAATGCATAACAGATTTATTCAAGAATCCATCTTCAAAGTCCAGCTATTTCCGATTCGAAGGGTTACCTCACAGTTCGAGGTAGCGAGCTCCGAGTTTATGGATAAGGACAAATGACCCGCTCACCTCCTGGTTAAGTGGTTGGCACACAATCCGAGATCTCTGGTGTTAGGCACAACACGTGCGTCCTAGATACGCGAAGTAGTTGGAGCAAGTTGATCAACATTTTAGGCAAAGCCAAAACCACGAAGAGTGGTTGGATCTGAACACATACTCTAAGTCGAAATCTAGATTATTGTTTCACTTTGTTTTCTAACACTTTGTTCCTTGTGTATTTACGGATTCACTTGATTCAATACATTTCAATCATGTTCGTGCAAACTATCTTTAAGATCTACTCACAGAGACATTTTCCTAGCTTTTCTCTAAACCTTACTAAACATTAATAAAATTTCTGATTGTGGGTTTTAGTTCCCACATCAATAAATTAAATCCCCCAAGCCATCAAGATAAAGTATTTTGGCAAAATATTTTTTAGGTACACGTAGACATGGTGCTAGGTACTCGTTCAGTGTTTGGATCGGTATTTTGGGTTTTCGAATTTTCTGATTCATCTTCTTAGGTCTCATTCTAATATTTTATAAGTACAAGATCGGGTTCAGATAATAAAATTTAGAGGGGGGAAGGGGGTTGTATTCATGTTTAAGTCTCGAAAGACCCGGACCCGAAAAGAACCGGCCCAAATCCGACCCGAAGACCCGAACGCCCAGGCCTAGTTACAATCATTCAATGATTTATCAACATTATGGGAATACATATTTATTCTGCATACACTTAAAAGTCAATGAACATTTTAGGTTGGATACAATTATTTTTTATTGCAAAGTTCTTAATTTGGTATCAGTGTCTACAGCGATTTTGTTACAGCTTCGAAGAGTTTCCCGCACCTAACTCATCTTTTTTTTTTTCTTGTTCCAAGACCAGATTTTCTTCGTGGATGTTAGTCATCTCTCTCTTTCTCTCAATTTTTTTTTTTTGGAAACAAGAAGAAACAATATCTGCCATTTGTTTTCTAGGTTATTTAAAAAACGATTAGTGTAGTACACTAGTATATGTATTTGTTTCTGATTTCCTTTTTCCCTCACACCAACAATTTCTTTTTCTTTTAACAAGTCAAATGTTTACATTGAGGGTTTGACCTCAGTTTTCCTTTTATGAGCATAAATTTCCTTTTCTAAAATTAAACACTAAAACCTGAAGCAAGAAGTATACCAACAAGCTTAAGCCAACATCAAATATCTAATTCAGTTTTTCATGATTCGTTTTTTTTATTGTTGATAAAATATGAACATTATATCAAAATATGTTTAGTTATATGCATTAATTAAGCTGGAAATTTCAAAACGGAAAAAGAAAAAAAATTATTGATGAAAAGTAATAAGAAGAGCTTTAAAATAAATCATTTTGTTAGATTGTAAATGAATCTAAACTTATAAAATTAGGACATATTTTAAATTTAATAGAGTTGACTTAAACATATGCAACTATTGGAACATGATTTATCACATAAATCCAGTCCAAAAAAGCCCA